GAGCCAGCATTTTCTTCTTGTATTTGGGACAAGTTAAAGATTGTCTCTGCAGTGGTGCAGACTCCTTGTATTTGGGACAGATTAAAGATTATCTGTGCAGTGGTGCAGACTCTTTGTATTTGGGACAGGTTAAAGGTTATCTGTGCAGTGGTGCAGATTCCTCTTTGAGCTGCTGCTTTCTCATCCCCAGGTGGACTCACTAGAGAGCCAGCTGAGGTGGCACCACAGGAACACCAGCACACCAGGACAGGGCAAGAAGACTGGAGACAAATTAAGAAAGAGATGACCATGTTGCCTCTTTGTATAAGGTCAGTGTGTTTGTTCTGGGCTGGGGTCAATGTGGGTTTGCTGAGCGTGCCATGGGACACCTCAGCAGTGTTCACATGCAGGAGGGGATGTTGCAGAAAGGAATGGAGCAATGTGGGGATGAATGGGACATGAAGTAATAGGCTTAAATGCAGCAGGTTAGACAGTCATTTCTGCTGGTAATGATTAGTGACTCACTGGAATGGGTTGTCTGGGGACGTGGTGGCGTATCCATTCCTGGAGGTCTTTTAAGAACTGGTTTGGCAAAGATGGGGAAAGACATAAGTATAGGATGGACCAGGAGGAATGGGTGAGGTCTCTTGGGCCTATTCTCCTGGGACTCTGGGTAGATTTCTTCTAACAACACTTAATATCATAACCCCAAATCCAACAGCCTCCAAAGGACCTTTGTGGGGAGAGATATCTCACAGCTCAGTGATGGAGTAGATGGACTGGTTCCTCCCCAGGGTAACAAGGACATTTGGGCAGATGGAGCAATCCATCATTTGCTTACATATTGGCAGAGATTTCCCCCTCACCATCTGAGTCACTGTGCACTTTGCTTCTGGAGGCACCAGTCCCCTGTTTGCTCAGCCCCAGCCAGGGCAGCACAACTTTGAGAGGTGTGTTTGAAGTCCCTGCCAGCCTGGGGACTCCAGCTGCTGCTCAGCAGTGGCAGGGTCCAGGCAGGGAGCTGCCAGACCTCTGGTCTGGGTGTTCAGGGGCATGGAGAGCACAGCCTGAGCTCCCTTATCCCGCTTTCCATGGAGATCCCTACAGCCTTGAGAGAGTGGGTGAACAGCTTGCTGGCCCCTGCCAGTCTGGAGAAGGTGGTTAATGGTTTTTTATGTGTTGCAAATGATTACTGCAGGGACAGGAGCAGGGGAGATAAGCAGAAGTGCTGTTCTGCCAGGCAGTCTGTACTAGAAGGAGCATCCTCTGGAAGTTAGATTACAGGATGGGGCAAGCAAAGGCTGGTCTGTGCTGATAATCTCAGCAGAAAGCAGAAGGAGAAGCCTAGAGGCTGGCCTCAGTTTTCCAGCATGATTTGGTGAGTTGGTGCTTATAGATTTTCCAGTCAGTGATTCTGCTTTAGAAGTGTGACATAGAGTGCAGTGTGACATATGAGTTGGCTTCTCCTTGCCATCATTTCAGATCCTTGAAAAGTGCTCTAGGGTTTATGGGGTCCCTGAAAAATATTACTGTGGGTTTAAAGGGTTTTCCTAGTGCAGTCCTACATGCCCCAGATCAGCCAGGCACTGCACAAACAGCTCGCTTTGCCTCCAGCTGCCTCCCATGAGCTTTTCTGCTTTCTTGTGCCATTTCAGGTGCTCTGTGACCTGCACTCCTGCTCTCCACCAACCACTCCAACCCACTCCTACAGGGCTCAGAAAGCCATCACAAGACCCCACGATGCTCTGCCTGCCCTCACACCTCCTGTGCCACTCCCCATCCCAGGACCACTGTACTTTTGCCTGTATTGAACCCTCTGCACTGACTGTCCATGAGCCCCTCAGCCCCTGGATCCTTCCTGCCTTTGTCAGCCCCCTGGGGATGGGCTCTGCCCTCAGTGGTGACAGCCCAGAGTCTGCCAAGATGCCTCTTTCTTCCACAGCCCCCAGGGAAATGGAGACTAATTGAAGCTGCTTTAGTGCCCCTTTCCTGCTCCTCTTCCCACGCACCGCTGTCATCACCCACCACGTGTCTGAAGCATCCCATGGGCACCCAACTGAATCAATTCAGTGAGGCAAAACCTTTCTCAAATGCACTGTGGTGTCAGGAAACATCTGGAGAAATCAGAAAAAGAAAAAAGATAAATGAACAGGAAGCCTAAAACAAACCCCCATCCATCTTCTGATGCCATCAGGACTGGGTTTGGGCTGGGCTTGAAGTCCGTGCCAGCAGCAAGGAAGTGACCCAAGGCCCAGGGAAGTCCCCTGGATGGTTGGATGCTTCAGGACAGGGTGCCAGGCATGGTGTGGCTGCCCCAACCACCTGCTGTGCTTTGCCACTCACTGGTGACAAGTGGCACATCCTTGGTTACGTGACCCCACGAGTGACTGTTACGTGCCCAATGTTCAAAAGCATTTTCCTGAGCATGACCTGCATTCCCCAGCTCTCTGCCCCTTTCAGGGTTTAATTGGAATTATGTTTCTCTTCCTTTTTTTTTTTTTTTTCCCTTCCAAAAGGCTCTTTGCTGGAAGATGTATTTCAAGTGTAAACGTAACAGGACCTGGAACAGAACCTCAGCTAATTAGATGTAATGAGTGCTCTCATTAGTGAAGGGGAGCTGCTGGTTTCTGTCAATTAGGCTGGGAGGACACGCTGTGGTGTTTGACACATGGGTGAATGCAAAGTGCTGTTTGTGTTTATGGCTCCCAGGTGCTCTGCAGCCAAACCAGGACTGTGCAGCCAGATCCACAGCACAGGTCTTCTGGTTTCATTGCTCTTTGGAGGTGCTTTTTAGTGGTGCTAAAACTAAAGTCCCTGTGTATCCATCGCAACCCCAAATCTATGGACAGATTGGTTTTTAATACACCCTTGTAAGCTGGTCACAGGGACTTGAAGATAAAATACTTGATCCATCAGATATCTGTGCCTACCTTATCTTTCTCACTTTTCCTGTGCCCTCCCACCTGCCTTCCCACAGCACAAGGACCAGAAACTTTTGTGAACATGCTTTTTCTTCTTTATTTTTTTTTTTCAATTTTACTTTTAGGTGTTTTGTAGTACCAGAGGGGATTCAAAGCAGCAGGGATGCTCCTGGAACTTAATTGGAAAATAAAAAGAAGATACTAGAAAAAGGTTGTGATTTATCAGCTCTTTCCTGGTGTGGGACTGAGTCGTGCATGTGTGCCCTGTGCAGACAGAGGTTTGCAGGGATGAGTCTGTGTTATGCATGTCTGGTAGGTTCAGCTCAGAGGCAGTATTTAGTCCTCAGGGATGTCTGTCATTTTGAAGTACTCTTTCATTTAGGTGCAAATCAAGATCCAAAGCCTTGCGTGCTATAAATCAGCTGCACTTGTGTATCTCTTGTACCACTAGAGAATCTAATCTGGCAAAGGTCAATAAAGGTAAATCAGTCTCCAGTCTCCTGCACACCAGAAGTCCTCTTTCTAAACACTAAGGCATAGACATTCCGTGCTGGATCTGATCAGATATCTCTTGGTGCATAACCAAGCAGCCCATTTTGCTCCTGGTGGAGCGTGACATGAGGAGCAGACTTGTCACAAGCGCTACAGAAGGACAGCAGAGGGGATGTCCCTTCCCTTTGGGTTGCAAATCCTTCTGTGCTCTATCTCCAATTCCCTTCCTAATGCTTAGGTGGGAAAAATGCTTGGCCTTTTTGCAGGTTGTTTGGCCATCAGGGGACACCCAGGATGCAGGACACAGTAGATCTAGAGTTGCTGGTCCAGGGTGGGTCCAGCTTGTTCCTCATACACCACCCAGTTACAGTCTGCAGCCCAGACCCCTACAATTAATTTTCCATATTTCTTTTTGAACAGCCTCTTTCAAACACCCAAAATGAGGTACCCAGACCAACTCCAAGCAGAGTAGGATCAAAATAATGGTCTCAAGGCCAGGAGTGGAGTTACCAGGCACAAAACTCCCACTAATTAGATGGAATAGTTCAGTGACAAAGTCCAGGCAGGGGCTGGGGGTTTGCAGTTGGGATTTCTCACCAGAGCACTGATCTTCAGGTGGCCTGAGGAAAATGTGAGGGGGAAATCTGTCCTTTGGCTGATGGCTGTGGTTGCTGTGATTTGGTAGGGGTTTGGAGCAGGTCCGTGTCTGAGTGTGACCAGGTCTGGGGGAGGGTGGGTGTGCTGGCACAGCCTGAGCTGGGTGTTGTGTGCCAGGTCTCAGCTCTGGATGCCACACAGGCACCTGAGGCTGATCCAAACCCTGCATCAGGCAAGGACCTCCTGATACTGGACAGGACCCATCTCTGGTAGAGGCTGAGCGAGCAGCAGATCCTAGTGGATGGAACTGGGAGAGGGATTCCCTAAAGGTCCTGTGCAAGGGGGAACTAGTGGCAGGAGGCAAATGTTTTAGTGTGGTAACGCTGGGAGATCATTGTAGACCAAACAAAGGATCTTGTGTTATAAACCCCACAATATCCACCCAGGAAATATCCAAACACTTCAGATCTCTTCTGAGGTTATTTCCTTAATTCTGTTTTAACTCCCGCACATTTGCGGATGCAATTATTGTCCTATGGAAAAAAAGAAAATACCCTCCCACACAAGTGAGATGAAGAATATTAGCTGGAGTCAGCCACTTGTGACAAGAGCTGCTTGAAGAACAGAGAGCTGTGTTTATGGTGCTCTGGTAACAAGCCAAGAGCACACTTTAAAGTAATGATTAGATGAAACAACAGCCGTTCCCCTTCTTCGAGAGCGGAGAGCCCGTCTCCAGCTGTGCTCGTCTCCCAGATGTGCCCGTGGGTCTGAGCGTGGGACTCCTGCCTGCAGACTCATCCCGCCTGCAGACTCGTCTCACCAGATCAACCAGTTTCACTTTTCAGAAATAGGAAGTTCGCCGGGATGGGCCGGCGAGCGCCCAGACGCGTGCGGGGAACGCGGGGCGGCAGGATGAGCTGCCCGGCCGGCGGCATGAGCCCGGGATCGCCCCTTCCTCCGGCCCCCCGGAGCGCGGTGGCGTAGCCCACCGCACCCACCGCATCACCGGCGATGGAGCAGTTTGTCAGGAAGCGTCTGAGCTTCCTGACATCCTTCTGGAACAAGCTCCGTCCCCGCGCCGTGACGGAGAGCTGCTCGCTGGGGTATCTTGGTTCTGATTCCGTTTCGCTGCACTCCGAGCCGAACTCCGTTTCCTTCGTCCCCAAGTCCTCTCTCTGTATCGCTTTATACGCTTTCACAGCCCGGAGCTCCGAGGAACTCAGCGTAAGCGCAGGGGACAAACTGCGTGTCCTCAGAGAAGAGGGGGAGTATGTGTTAGCCCGGCGGCTGCTGGGGGAGCCGGCCATGGGCTACGTCCCTGCTGCCTACGTGGCCAACCTCAGCCAGGGCACCTCTGCTCACCGCCCGTAAGTATCCAATGCTCTGGATCCGTAGGGGGATGGGGCTGGACCAGGGTAGCACATCCCTGTGCAGGGAAAGGCAGCGCTCCTTCTCCACAGCGATGGGGACAACGAGACCCTCGTCCCCTGCTTTTCCCATCAGTGGTGCCAGGACTGAGTGGGGATTCTACCCTGCCCTGGGCATCTCAGCCCTGGAACTCCTGCAGCTCGTGGTAGTGTGGTGGAGGGATTTGGCACAGCAAGCAAGATTTGGGGGACATGCCAAGGGGGTAGAGATGCTGGTGCCCCTTCCCAGCCGCATCACCCTCGCTCAGGATGGGGTGTTTCTGGTCTGGGATGTGGCGTGGTGGTGGGCATGGGTTGCAGCTATGGTGCCAAATAAACAGGCTCCTGCTTGCTCCAGCTGCTCTTCCTCTTGTCCTGCATTAAAGGGGAGGCAGCAGGGAGGGAGCTGGGGAAACCTGTACCTGAGCCCTGCCAGCTCCAAAGGGCTCAGGAGCATGGGAGGAAGCAGTTTGGGTTGGAACCTGCCAGGAGGCCCAGAGATCTGCAGGCCCAAGCTGTGGTGTTGGTGCTGCTGCCATCTGGTCCCTGCTTATCTAGAGATGGGGGCTCCCTCCCTGTCGGTGCCTCTCCCAGCCGACACGGAGCTCGGGGTGATGCCTCAGCCTTCTGTCAGCTGGGGAAAGCCCAGGCTCATCGTTGCATAAGGCAGCCTGGTCCCGACACGTCGGGCAAAGCGCCCCGAGACACTGCTGTTCCCTCTGGCCCTGAGTCACGCTGAGGGCTGGGAAGCGCAGGGCTGGGATGGATGTATCACCCTGGAGACCCCTCCATGCTCCCCCTGTGCTCAGTGAGTGGGGGTAAGAGAGGAGCGGAAGAAGCCTGGGAAGGGTCCCCAGTGTGAAGAGGCAATGCCAGCAGCCGGTGGGATGGGAGAGAACCTCTCTGCGTGAGCTTTGAGAAACACGAATCCAGTCTGGTTGCACTGTGCTGGGACCACAGCAGAGGGGACAGGGACAGCGGGGTCAGCTCCCTGCTTTAGTCCTGTGGTGTGGGACAGTGGGACAGGCTACAGTGGAGTGTGTGTGTGTGTTTGTGTGTGTTTGTGTGCACGTGTGTGTGTGTGTGCAAGTGAGTGTGGGCACCAGCCATGCACAGCCGGTGCCCAGCCCCATCCCGAGGACAGGGGTGAGGAGGATGCCGAGGCCGGGAGGGAGGATGGCAGTGAGGAGCACACAGACTCCACGGAGCCGCAGGTCGGAGCTGGGTGGTAATTTGTTCAGCTGCTGTAACCCCATCACATATAATTTCCTGAGCGGCCTCTCAGACGCTGGCGATCCCAGCTAATGACGAAACCTTCAGCTTCTCACGTCTTGGTTGCCTTAGGCTGGATGGAGTTTCCTCAGGCTGGATGGGGTTCCCCACACTCCCGTGCATCCCGCTGCATCAGGACACAACCAGCCAACCTGCCTTTCCTTGCTGGGGAGTCAGTGATGAATCTCAGTGCTGTGACACACAAGAGGGGTTTGGCTTGGTCCTCCTGTCCTCTCCCCTGGCATGGTGCTTTGAGGTTCCCAACCAGCACTACCAGGTGTTCTTACTGATACCATTTCCTCATGGGCTTAGAGCTGGTTCTGTCTATAAACTGCAGGTCAAGAAGTGCAAAGTGATCCTGTGCCTGCAGCTGTTGCTGTTGTGACAGGGCACAGGTACAACCCCACCAGAGCATCTTGCACACAGCACCAGGTGGTTGTTGCTTCATTCACCACAGGCCGAGGTGCAGCCCTGAGCCATGGGTGTAAACCTCCCGGGTTTGGGATGGGGCTGAGACCTGGACAGCTCAATCCAGTGGTGTTCAGACACTGATGGAGGAAATGCCCCACCCCTGGCAGTGTTCAGAGCCAGGTGGGATGGGGCATTGGGCAACCCAGTTTAGTGGAAGGTGTCCCTGCCCATGGCAAGATGGGTGGAGTGAGATGAGTTTTAGGGTCCCTTCCAACCCAAACCATTATTGGATTCTCTGATTCTACAAAATAGTTTGCAGTCAGTGAGCTGCAATAAACTGCAGCAAGTGACTGTAAAACCCACCCAATGAAGCAGCCCTGATGCAGGCAGCCACATTTACAGGTTCTGAGACATGAACCATGCTGTGCCACTCGCTTGGTGGCTCCAAGTATGAGCAAACAGTGGGATCCCAGGAGCTGCTCCCCTTCCCTGGCTCAGAAGGTGCAGGATGCCCTGAAATGGATGCAGCTCCATCCGTGCACCATCCCCTTACATTGCACTGACCCCTCTGCTCTGCTCCCCAGCTGGTACTTCAGCAAGATCAGCCGAAATGAAGCGGAACAGCTCCTCCTCTCGCCTCCCAACCAGCATGGCTCCTTCCTTGTTCGGGACAGTGAGAGCAGCAAGGGCGAATACTCCCTCTCAGGTGACTTTGTGGCATTTATCCAGAGAAAATTAGCACAGGGAAAAGAACCAGTTCCTTAGGGCAGCTTCTGGCTTGGTCACCACAAGGTGAAAAACAAGGGAATAAGTTTAAAGCCATTTTCAGCACCTTGTTGAAGTGAACCAGCTGCTTTCTGAGAGCGCAGAGCTGACAGAGAAGGGATGGACTGCAGAATTACTGCGGCAAAGGAAAGTGCGTGGCTCCCGTCCGGGGCATGGAAGCTGTAAACATTTCACTGTTACTTAATGATGGTGTCGTGGCACTAACTCCCAGGATTTCATTCCAACAGCTTTTGTCATCTGAGGGTTGTTTAAAAATATGCCACCACTCCAGATTGCCAGGGCCTGGGCGGCACAGACCAGGCAGTGCTGTTATGATCTGGTCCTATGCACATAGAAGTAATCCTCAGAAATTCACGTCAAACCCCTCATCCCACCATCAGTCCCTGGGCTGTGGGAGTCCTAGCTGCCACTGGTTTATCCACCTTGAGCAGCTCTGCTGTTCTCTGAGCAGGCCATTTCCACAGGAAATAATCCCTGATAATAAAGCATCGCCCCTGTGGTCCAAAGGAGCCCAGCTCACCCATGGCCAGGAGTCCTCTGAGCCAGGAGGTGGGAAAAGAAGAGATGTGGGGATTGGGATATAACACTTCAGGGGTGAGTTGTATTGCTTCAGGATAATTAAAAGACTGGGTGTCTGGAAAAGAGAGAGGGTGAGGTCAGCAGGCAGGTGGGAAGGAGCTGTTGATTGCACGAGTTGAGTTTTCTCCAACCTGGGCTTCCCCACAGTGCGCAACCACGCCAAGGTCAGCCACTTCCGAATCTGCAAGAGCCCCAGGGGCAGCCTCTACATCCAGAAGGGACACCCCTTCCCCAGCATGGAGGAGCTCCTTGCCTTCTACACGGAGCACTGGAAGGTCATCCAGAGCCCCTTGCTGCAGCCCTGCAGCCCCGCGGTGCGTACGCCGACGGCACAGAGGTCCCAGGGACGAGCAGGGTGGGAAAAAAAAGGAGAGAAAGACTAGGGAAAAGAGAAATAATTGCTCTATCCATTTGGGATTTGAGCTTTGCTAAACTAAATTTAAAGCCCACCTTTAGTATTGCTGCCAGCGTCACCTTTTATCAGCCACGTTAAGGCTGGGCATGGAATTTCTGTGGATTTTTGACTGGGGAAAAACTGAACAGAATTTTCTGAAATGTCTTCTCCATCTCAAAGACTAGAAACCAAGTTGTTACAAATCCCTTCAATATTGATTCTGGAAATACCTGCCCTTCCAATTTTTTCCTGAGAATGTAAGACATACACATTGGTTTTATATGCTTTTCATACCAATTAGTGTTGCACTCATAAATCTAATTACAGTATTAATCCCAAATTGCCAACTCATTTCCTGATTAGAATTCCATCCACTGATTACGACTTAGAAATAGCAATTAAACATGTGAATAATCCAACAGTGAAATTGAAAGGTGTAGTATAAAAGAAATACTTAATGAGCTGAAGTCTAAGTCAGCCATATTACGCAATAATATTAATTTAGTTGTTTTTATTTACTTGTGGAAGTGGAGAAAACTGCTTTTGAAGTCCGATTAGGAGTGAATTGTGACTGGAACTCCTGATATTTCATGTGGTCTCCCCAATCTCCCCCTTGCACACCTGGGCTCCCAGCAGGGGTCATGCAGATGATGCTTTGTGAACATTTAGCAGAAGGAAAAGCAATGCTCAGGCTGCAGCCCCTGTGCACACAGGTGGGGGGAGCTTCATGTCCTGCTCTGTGGGCACCAAAAGCTGGTGCAGGCTCCACCAGCAGGTCCTGCCAGGCTGGCTGGTCCAAGAGTGTCATTCCATGTCTGTTTGGCAGATGCCCCCCGAGCGGGATGGCTGGGAGCGCCCGCGCTGGGAGTTCACCCTGCGGAGGAAGCTGGGAGAGGGCTACTTCGGAGAGGTGTGGGAAGGGCTGTGGAGGAACACAGTACCAGTGGCCATCAAGATCATAAAAGGTACGTGGAATCCCAGCTGGGTCTCTCCTTCACTGCCACATTGTTCACACTCTTTTGTTTCCTCATCCTCTTGGTCACTGTGACTGTTTTATCAGGCAAATTATGGCAGGACCAGGCAAGGAGCCGCTGGACTATTTCTGTGGGCAGACCTAAGCTTGGGCTCCACTCAGTGGGTTTGGGATGAGTGACATCACATTGAGTCAAATGGGTTCATGACAAAGGGATGCAAAGCCCTGTGCAAGACAACTCTTGGCTGTTTGGGTCTGAGACACAGTTTGTGCAGACATAAACATTTGAAGGCAGGGGTGGGCTGCGGGGAGGAAAAAGGTCCTTATCCAACTTGAAGGTGTTGGGGTGCAACGTCCTCATGAGAAAGTAGCTCACAGTGGCCATGTTGGCTTTCTCACCCAGCTGACATGAAAGCAGAAGACTTCACCAAGGAGATTCAGAACCTGAAGCGCCTGAGGCATGAGAAGCTGATCCAGCTGCACGCTGTCTGCTCGCTGGATGAGCCCGTGTACATCATCACTGAGCTCATGCGCAAAGGCAACCTCCACAGCTACCTCAACAGTGAGTACCGTGCCAGCACCACGGGGAGAGGGCTCCTGGGACACTGCTGGTCTGGGTTCTGTGCCCTATGAATCTGAATGGGGACCCTAAGAGAGCACCAGTCTGGTTTAGGTCCTTTTTAGGTCAGTGATAACACAGATCAGTCCATGGGAACCTGGTGTAGATGGTCTTGGGTGACTCCAAGACTCAAAAACACTGTCTGGTGTGATTTGGGGTGTCTGTGTAGGCTGGGTCCATATCAGTCTCTGGGAGCCCAAGAATGTTGGTAGGGACCTTCATCTCTCCTTCTCCACCCACCCATGGTCTTCTTGCTCCCACCAGTGCACACAAATCCTATTGCTGTGTTTGGGCAACTCCACCTTCTTTGGGAATGAAATGGCCAAACCTCCCCAGGGGTTTGTTCATGTGCAGAGCTCATAAGAGGCCGTGGTCTACTCATCATCCTACCATCAGGCTATTTTTCTTGGCCTTTCTTTTCCTGATGCAGTAATCAGTCTTGAAAGGAAACAACTGCTCCCACTGAGACCTGTTTTTCTACTGGATACACCCCCTCCCACCCACACCAACCTTGCTTTTGGTTGGGGCTCCAGAAGCATTTGGGGCCAGAGGAGCTGGAGCTCACAAGAACAACAGGTTGAGAGGCCTGGTGGGAGATTTGCACGACAGAAGGTCCCCTTTAGCTTTGAACAAGACATGGATATCTGCATCTTTGTTGCAGCACATGGTGCTCTTCAGAGTCCCATTCCTGAGGAGGCACAAGGCTGTGCTGAGCTTCCCCCACAGTGCCACCAGGACAGTTAGCCAGGACCTCCAATTCAAGGTTTTCCAGGTTTCCCTAGTTCCACATTGCCAGCACAGGGTCTCTCTCCAAACCAGAACACCCAGAACAGATGTTGGTAGATTGCCCCCAACTCTTGGATCATCTGGATTAATAGGTCCTGAAGGGAAGTCCCTGGGCACCTCCCACCTGCTCAACATTGCCTGCCAAGTGGCGGATGGGATGAGGTACCTGGAGGAGAAGCACATTGTCCACCGGGATCTGGCAGCCAGAAACATCCTGGTGGGAGAGGAACTCACCTGCAAAATTGCTGACTTTGGACTTGCCCGGCTCCTCAAGGTCAGTCCTGTTACCCTGGGCCACCAAGCTGCCCCGTGCTGCAGCTGTTCCCTGCCATCCTCTTTCCCAATCTGCAGCTCCAGCAAAGCCCCGAAAGCAGTCTCTGTGTTCATCATCCCATCCCTCGTGTCCCATCTCCTGTTGCTTTTCAGGATGACATTTATTCCACCAGCAGCAGCACTAAAATCCCAGTGAAGTGGACAGCCCCGGAGGCAGCCAACTACCGCACCTACTCCCTCAAGTCCGATGTCTGGTCCTACGGGATTCTGCTCTACGAAGTCTTCACGTATGGGCAGATCCCGTATGAAGGTAGGGCTGCCAGCACACTCCTGTGCCCTCCATCCACGTGCCCAGGTGGGCAACTCTGGGGACATCAGATTCAGGGGAATCTTCTCCTTCCCTTGCAGGGATGACAAACCAAGAAACTGTACGGCAAATCACCAGGGGCTACCGCCTTCCCCGGCCCAGCTCCTGCCCTCCCGAGATCTACAGCATCATGCTGGAATGCTGGAGTGGCAACACGGAGGAGCGTCCCACCTTCCTGGCCCTGCGGGAGAAGCTGGGCTTCATCTACAGAAGGCTGCTCAGTTCCCTCTCCTGAGGGACCCCTTCCCGCCACCCTTCCTGCACAAGACACTCCAGGCCAGCTCTTGCCAAGAAGTTCCTTTCTAGTAGTTTGCCCTTTGGCAGGGCTACAAGGAAAGCACGTCCCCCAAAAAACCAGTCCATGGTCCCTCCCAGTCAGGATGCAGGGATGTGGCAAAGGGAAAAGGCAGTGAGTTGTGGAGAACTTGTTGCCAGCACTTGGCTGTGTAGCAGTCTGGAGAAGTCCCATAGTAACAGAAGCATCACCCAGAGTTTACATCTTCGTTCAGTCAGTAGGGTGGGAGCTCCCTGTCACTCCCCACACCAACATGAAGGTTTGCAGTTCATGTTCAGCTGTGGCTCCGCTTGATTTTTCTTGTAGTGTGTGTCCGGTGTATTTATCAATAAATGTGTGTACATCCATCCATGGGAGTCCTTGCAGGGTACTGCTGGATGCTCTGTCCTTACCACACTGCTCTGCTCCCTCCCAGGAATCATAGATCGATTTGGGATGGAAGGGATCTTCATGGTTCATCTTGTTCCAACCCCCCTGCCATGGGCAAGGAAACTCTCCACTAGACCAGGTTGTTCCAAGCCCTGTCCAAGCTGGGTATGAACATTTTCAGGGATGGGTTCAAGGAACCCACCAAGGATAGGTTCAAGGAAGCAATGGTTTGCAACCAGTCCCACTCTTGGAACCACGGATATAACCATTATTTTGTCTCTTTGGACTCTGTTCATCCAGGTATACACTGAACCTCAGTGTGCCTCTGCCACCCCTTTCCCAGCCAGCAGCCCTGCTTGCCCTGAGAACCCTGCACAGGCAGCTCCTCTCTGGGCTGCTCCACTCTAGATCCTTTTCTCACTCACCATTGTGTGTTATTCCAATAAAAATGTATGTTTGGGATCCACTATTTCATCCCAGGTGCAGGCAGGGAAGGTAAAACACTGCTTCACTCAAAAGAGAGTTTTGCTCTTTACCCCACGCTTGGTGCAAAGCCAAGAGATGATCCCACCACCCCCAGCTCCTCACTGATCCCAGGGCACAGCATTACAGGGGGACCTTGAGCCTCTGGTCCCTCCCAAGCCAGGGGAGCATTTTCTCCAGCCAAGTCCCTGTTGCCCATTCTGCCCATGCACACTCCCAGAGGCCAGGCTGTCCTTGGCAGCAGTGGAAGGACCCACAGAAAAGCAGCACTGGGAGCAATGCCAAGACTCCAGGCTGGTGCAGGCAGCCTCTCAGGGGTGGCCTGAGTGAGGCTGCTCGAGCACTAACACACTCATGGCACTGGTGGCTGTGGGTGAAAGGCAGCTGGCACTGAATTCCTCCTGATGAGCCTATTTTGCCTGTTTGCAGGTGACTGCTGGGACTGAGCCAGCAGCTGCGTTGGAATTTATAAAGTTAATAAAGTTTATGCAACACTCCCCACGCCTGGGCAGTGTCCGTGCTGTGTGGAACGGCAGAAACGAGTCTGGCTGTTAATTGAGCAAGTCTCGGTGCACGAGGGGCCTGGAAAGGGGAGGCAGGAATGTGGTTTAGGGGAGGGATGAATCCTGCTCTGTTCATGCTTCCTCTGGAGCCTGAGCAGGGGTGAGGCAGTTGCTGAGCCCACGGAACCGCAGCCGTGCCCTGGGAAGGCAACAGCTCCAGATTTGAGTGTTCCCAGACGGAAAAAGCAACAGGTTGGGTTTGGACACGGTTGCAAGAGGAAGCCCTCATTTGTACAAGCATTTTTCAGCCTGATCCAACACTTGAGCAGAGAGAACACTGATGCACAGTCAGGTCCTGCAAGAAAATAAAGACCAAAGCTGTGTCTGGCATGTGAGGAGTTCACGGCACAGGCATGGTGGGGCTGCTGCAGCATAGAAACATAGAAAGATTTTGGTTGGAAGAGACCTTCAAGACCACCTTGTTCCAACCCTGTTGCTGTGGGCAGGAACACTTTCCACTAGACCAGGTTGCTGGAAGAGCAAGACATTAAATTTGCAGATCTGGTTGCCACCAGATGGAGCTCAAAAATAAGCAGGAGGAGAAGGGTGTGCATGAGGTGATGGGGTGGTGGGGCTGGCACAGGGCGATGGGGCTGGTGTGGGACACAGTGGTCCATGGTGGGATACCTGGAGAGGTCAGTGGGGCTGGCAGGGCTGCAGGCAGCCTCCTGCCTGCACCAGCCCAGCAGACACGTGGCTCCAGAACAGCCCCCTCAGCTGTTGCTGTGACCTCACGGGGATGTGGGGCAGGAAAATGGGGGCATGATGACACAGTGCTGCCCACAGCAGCTTTTCTTTCCTCCTCTGCCTCCTCTTCCTCCTCCCCCTCCTCCTCCTCCTCCTCCTCCTCCACTGCCTGGGGTGTGCCCTCCAGCACGGTCTGCTGGGTTTTGGCGTTTCTCCGAGTCATTACTTGCTTTCTAAAAGTAGACAGAGTTGGTGGGGGTGGGGGAGGTGGTGGAGCCCAAATTTTCCCATTTGCTCCCAGGATCTCAGCCTGGGCTGGGCACTGCAGCTCCCCCCAAAACTGGACCAGGCTTTTCCTTAAATCCATCGCACAAAGGCAGGGATGTTGTGGTCCTGAACCCCTCCGGAGTGGGCACTGCAAATCCTGCTGTTACAGGCATTCTGCTGCTCTGTTTCCAGCCTGGCATGTGCCCTGTTTGCAGATTCAAGGAGTGGAGCCTTGACCCAGTGGCATTTGGAAACAGTGTCAGGCTAATGCAAGGTATTTGAGCTGCACAGCTCATTTCTATTTTTAAGATCCCACATCAGCCTTGGAAGGGTGAGGGGGAAGCAAAGCTGCTGGAGGAAAAAAGAAAACAACAAAACAACCCCAAACAGCAAGAGGCAGGGAATGAAAGGAAGTATTTCTCACCAGAGGCAGTGGGGTGGTACGAGGGGCACTGCAAAGGATGAGAGTGAGCAGAAACCTGCGAGTTTTTAATAAATTATGTGAGTTAATCAACAGTCAAAATACCTCTGGGGGAGGAGGAGGGGGGGGCAGCATCAATCCCAGTGGAGTTGGTGCCATGGGAGGTGGGTGATTGCCACTCTGATAGCAAGTCCTGTGCAAAGGGGGAGGATGATTAGGGAGGGTTATAGTGTAGGGGAAACCCCTTTACTTGTCTCACTTCTACTGCTCAATGTCTCTCCTGCTATCCCACCACAGCAGGCAGCACGATGACACAAGACACATGAAGTCAGCTGGAATCATGGAACAACCTGCTAGGATCACATTCCCCAACACTGCCAATTCCACCCCAAGCACCACATCTACAGGTCTTTTAAATCCCTCCAGGGATGGTGACTCCACTGCCCTGGGCAGCCTGTTCCCATGCTTGATAATCCTTTCAGTGAGGAAATTTGTCCTGATATCCAGTCCAGCACAATGTGAGGCCATTTCACAGAATTATGGAACGAGAGTTTTCTCTCACCACTTGTTACTTGGGAAAAGAGACCGACACCCACAGCAATGGAGATGGAAAGAGAACAAAAATAAACTTGCTTGGCTGTCAGATGCTTTTCCTAAATATGTCTGAATGCTGTGGAGATGCAAGAAAGGCACTAAAAGCCTTTCAAGCCCAAGCAAACAAGGCAATGCCAAGGGCTTTGCTCTCAGCAATACCAGGAAGCTGCCTGGGAGAACATCTGGGAGGATCTGGGCTCTCCCTGCTTCTTCACTCCCACCAGAGAAGGAACCTGAGTCTGTGACACTGTACAGACATTCAGAAAAACACCCTTTAATTCAGCAGGGTGTTTCCAGGCAGTTTTGCTCTGCTGGACAGGGAGCCATGGGCATAAGGGCAGCCATGGACAGGTTCTGCAGTCACTGCTGCAAATCCAACCCACCTTGCAGCAATGTGGGAATGAGTTTAACCTCCATCCAGCATCCAAGAACAGGATGGAGGGGCGTCACTGTGCCAGTGGCATCACAGAGCAGCTCACTTAGCTTGGTCAGGCTGGGCAGTGTGCCCAGCCTGAAAAGGAGGGGCACAGGATTGGTATTTTTGCTCTGCCACTTCCTTCCCTGGGTGCCTGGGGACAGTTGTTGAGCTTGACCCTCAGTGATCACGAGATCAACAAGCAAATACAGCAATATTGACTTTACTTTTGTGTGTCCACACTGTAATCTGCAGGCTTGGAAAAAAAAATATTTTTTTTTTCCCTCTCCAAAATGTGGGGCTTGTGCTGGGAACCAGCAGTTGAGGAGGCACTGCTGCTGCCTTGAGGCATCCCAAGAATAAGCAGCACCCAAAAGGGTTTGCTGAGGCAAGGAAGGCCCTGGAGCAGTGCCACAGCCATGCTTTCCAGCTTGCCAGCCAGAGACAAAAAGCCTTGTCTTGTCTTACTCAGGAAGGATTGATTTTTGCTTGCTTTTCCTGTGCTCTGGGAAGTTTAAAGGCTGCCGTGTGCCTCCTGTGATACACAGCCCCCTGCACACTGGTGGAGCCACCCCAGAAACAGCAGTTTGCTTCCTGGTTGGAAGTTGCATCAGATCAGTTGTGGGGTGATGTGCTGCTGTGGACATGGGGGTCACCCACAGGGTGCTGGCAGCCTCTGGGGTCCAAACTGTGTGCCCAAGGCTGTTGGGACCCCCCCACAGCCATTTCTTTAGGATGCACATGCTTACACAGGGAGAACAGAGGTCCCACTGCTGTCCTGGCCCCTTACAGGGACAGGGGACACAGACCCTCTGCCCCGAGAACAAGATCTGCTGCCTGGAGAAGCAGAGCTCAAGCAAAAGCTTACTCAACACTTTTCCCAACCAGAAACAAGAAACAAAGCGAGAAGTGACCCAGATGCCCCTGCAGCATGGACAGAAAGCAGAGCAGCCCTGGCCCCCCCCAACCCCCCCTTCCCCAGCTGCTCCCTGCCCTTCTCCCTGTCTGCCTGGGGCACTGGAGGGGGGAAGTCACGGCTCAGGGGTCCCATGACCTCGGCTGCCATCGGGGCTGCAGCACCTGGTGCACACAGGGACAGTCCCACACCTCATGCTGTGGCTGGAAGCAGAGCAGGAAGAATTGGCACCTTTAAATCAAGCTCTGCCAGGTTTATTCTGCCTCCAGCAGGAACAAAGGTGCTCCCTTCACCCTGGCACGAGCAGGCTCTTGTATTTCCAACTACCAGGCTGATCACAGAAGGATCAAACAGCCAAGCTGACTAATTCGAGGCAAAAATCAGCCAAAACAGTCCTTAAAGCAGTACAGCACGTGGGCCAGAGGGGATCCAGGGCTGCCAAATCCAGTGCACCCCAAGCTGCCACCCACACCATGAGCTCCAGCCTGACATCAAGACCCCCAAAACACATGGCTTGAGCAAGCCTCATCTCTCCCCTCATTATGGAAGGCTCACTTTTCACCCAGTTCCTTCCCCCAGCCCCAACCAGACTGGCTCAGGCCCTGGCACTCACTCCTACCCCTCCAGGCACGAGGGCAGGGCAGCAATGTGCTGGGGGAGCAAAACAAGTTCAGTGCCAGCAGCAACAGGCTCTGCAGCCAAGTAAGGAGAAAAGGAGGGGTGGGGAAGGCTTTTGCAGCATCACCCCAGCCCAGCCAGATCCTGCTCACTTACAAAACACACACAGACCAGTGAGTCACACCGGCACGTGATATCCACGTGATATCCGGCATCACCAGCTCCTGCTGCTGCGGTCGGAAGCTGTGCTGTGCTGTGCCCTGGTCCAGCCCCACTGACACCCCCAGCACCCCTCACCCTGCCCTCTCCCCGCCACACATGAAGAACAACAACCTGCACAGAGCTTTAAAAGGCTGCTCAAGTTTATTAGTTGCCATTGCACGGAGTCCAAGGTAATAAAATGGGTTACAGTCTGCTTAGTTACACTGGGAAAGAGTCAAAAGGCTGGTGTGGAATCGTCGGGGTTTGCTGCCCTTTTCCATCACGAGGCAGCACCTTTGCCC